TTTATTAAAATAATAAATAAATAAAAATAAGTATACATTTATCTATATTGAGTACTAGTTGTTCCCCGCGATCTTGCCCGCGTGGAATATGGATTTCATGGGTTTTAATTTTTTTGCGCGGAACCCTAATTCTTTTTCTAAAACAAAAGTAGTTCAAGTTATTCCTTATATCATCAGTTATCTGCCAGTGAAAGTCCCGTCAAAATAGATCCAGCTGTTTCGGAGATTAGCTGGAACAAACAGACTGACAGACAGACCGACAGACAGATAAAATTTTTAAAAATTGTGTTTTTGTTACTAGTACTTTCATATGCATTTAATAAAATGCTGTTGTTTTAACATTACAAACAGACACTTCAATTTTATTTATTTGTAGATATAGATATAAGATATTATTCATATTGGTGTCATTTTAAGGGGAATATCATGTACTATTATAATAATAAAATAATTGTCTCCAGTAAATATTATACTTTTCTTGTAAAACTCGAAATAAAAAATAAATACGATTTATTTTTATATCCCCATATGCTTTATTTTCATCCTTTATTTTTTATTTGACCAATTTTCTTTTAATAAAATTAAATTCTGAATTCGTTGAGCTTTTTGAGAATATTTTATTTGAATGTTAGGTAGGTACCTATATTAGTTTTTCAGTAGTAATCGTTTTTGTTGCGACAGTCTCGAGCGCTCGTAAAAAAAGTTACTGCGCGGACAGGTGGGACGAGAATCACTTGCGCGGCGTTGACGGTTCGGTGGATAGGTACCTACTGTTATTACCTAAATACCCATAACCTACTATACAACAAAATTTGACAAACTGTCGCTGCGTCGTGGACACTAAAATGTAAACTGTCTACCTACCTGCCTAAGTACGTCGGTACTAAGGAAACAGTCTTGACGGGTCACTTGTCTTGATAAAAACATGTGTTTACATCTAGTGATATTGTGTGTATATAAAAAAAGTAAGAAGACAGGTAAGTATTTTTGAAAACAATTTATAGGTAGGCAAAACTAATTACAATTATTATCTGAATATTATAAATGCGAAAGTTTGGATGGATAGATGTATGTTACTCAATCACGCCAGAACAGCTGAAGGGATCTGGATCATATTTAGCTCAGAGATAGGTTATACCTAGTCTGGAATAACACATTTGATACCGTTTATTCAGGTATTTCGTTCCTGTGGGATAATTTTCGAGTTCACGCGTTTGAAGCCGCTGGCAACAGCTAGTACGGATATAAACTGCGATGACTGTTCCAGTTCATACTTCGGCGTCGTGAACTCTTGAGTGATCGCTGCATGACCACCCGGGGAAAACTAAACATAATAAAATAAGCAATCTATATTAGGTATCTATAGAGCCATAGAGGTATAGTATAAAGCGATAACGCAGCGCCTAATAATTTAGTACGAGTGGCACGATGCCAGGTGAGACAACGTGCTTTTTGGCCGCGCCCACCAATGAGTTCGAGCCCGCGACTTGTGCCACCTACGCAATTCCTTTGTATAATGCGACGTTGCCACTCTTATTAGTTATTCCGCTTTGTAATATTTTATTTACAGGTGATATTTTGTTTATGTAGGTATTCGATAGATTCCTATAGTCTGTTTTTTTCGCAGGAGACAAAAATAACAGATATTTATTAGATTCGTTTAGCACGAATAATACAGTTTTTATGATTCTGGTTCAGATTAGATTTAATTTTAGTCACTTATGTTTCGCATATTGTTCAAAATAATTAAATAAATCCACAGAATCTGGAGTTACGAAAAAAAGCAATATCATTTAAGTCTCCGGCGAAAAAAAAAAGATATATATCATGATTAATTTACCAACTAGTTATTCGTTTACTAAATACGAAAAAAATATTTAGACGTCATTTTTCTTCCAATCTTGCTGTACTGAATATTTACGTAGTCCTTATATTAATAATTATAATTGCATAAGTTGATACAAAATGCTGTGCAATAGCTTTACCGCGGCAGTCCCCGAGTGCCACACGTCTTTTTTTTATTAAATAGAGTTTCTTAATTAAGTAAGGGTGACAAATGAGCACACAGTTTACCTGGTGTTAAGTTGAAGATCATCTTATAAGATTCGAAATGAAGATGCGTTGTCACTCCTTGGGACTAAGATGGAAGCCTCGTTCCCAGTAAAATGTGTTACCAGTTCTCTACACTCACAATTAGAAATACAGCAGCATTAGGCTTGTACTTTACGCTGATATTTTGTGAAAGCGTAGTCGTTCCTCGGTCCCGCCGACCATTTCGTACTACCCATAATATAGCTGCAGCGTGGCTCTACCACATATAAATATTATACTTATCTTTATAATGTATTCTATAATACTTGTCTGCACACATTGAAAGAAAATAATATTCCAAGAGCATTTATTTTGTCGTTGCAAAAAGTATTTTTTACGTGTTGGAGCCACGCTTCAGCTATATTTTCGTTGTAGGATGAATGGGTTGGTTATAACAGGGAAGTACCATACTCTCGCAGAAAACCAGCGTGAAATAGCAGCTTAATGCTGCTGTGTTTCGTATGGTGAGTGTAGAAAAGTGGAGACCCGTTTAACTGAGATCGAGGCATTTCACCTTAGTCTTCAGGGGTGACATCGCATCTGCATTTTGATTCTTAATCGAATGTGGACGTCTATGGACCACAGCATCCCCTTTCCATCAGGTGGACTGTGTGCTCGTTTGTCACCATTATCCTATAAAAAATTAGGGACATTGCTGGAATATTTGATATCTTTTTTTTACTGTTTCAACTTCAAACTGTTCATAACAGTATTCGATAATCATAGATGACAAAAAATTTAATTACTTCTAGACTAGAATTCGTTAACTAATATTCGCTCACCGGAATAACGTATGTGGAGTAAAACAAGTGCAAAATCTAATGTCTGCAATGCAGGAAACACGCTACGCTTTACACTATAAGTTATAAATTTACATTACTCAAATTCCCTATTAGGTTCGAATCTTGAAATGCAATTATACAAATTTATACAAACGTTTTGGATGAATTTAAAGCAAAGTTTTTTCTAATTTGTGTTACTGGAGAAGTTTTTCTTTCCACCATAGTGTTGCTCACTGCCATTTGCCTAGGTTTCTGTTTGCGACGGCGTCGTGAGACGGGTCGCTCTCTTCCCTTTCATATGGTTGAGGAGAGCGATGGCTCCCGCATGGGTCATACTAATGAACATATTTTAGAACGCACGCACGCACACGCACACGCACACGCACACGCCAGCACAGCCGCACACACACACACACACACACACACACACACACACACACACACACACGCTGTTTTTTCTTCAGTAAGATGATTCCATTTCAAAACGGTTGTAGATTTGAAAAAAAAAAATTCACAAATACATTTTATTTCGTGAAAGAACAAATATAATTCCTTTACATTCCTTCTATACAATATACGACAATGTAGCAGTCACCTCCTATAGGGTAATGGGTTCTCCTACTCAACCATCACACGGCACATTGAATCACATTGAATTTGTGCAAACATACAGAGATCCATAAATCATAAGCATTATATTTACAAGAATGAAGACATTTAAAACAAAATGAAGAAATGTTCCGAGGTCAAATTCTAAAAAAAGGAAATCTCTTTGTCAGGAAGCGCCTCATTGTCTAACGGAATTTTTAATAGTTTGCGTTAACTGTGCATGAAATTAAAGCTTATCTCAAGACTTTAGAAGCGAGACTAGATACGGTTTTGTAATATCCTCTGTAAAGTGTAAAAAGCCTGGAGATGGAGGCACGTAATTGTTTTCCTGTTTTTAGAAAGGAGATCGGGGATTTAATTTAAAAGGCTGAGGTCATGTATAAAAAAATCATAAAGGATATAGCCTTATATTGCAACCGTTCATTTAAGACTATTATTTCAGTTGCGTCATCTAATAACTCATCAACCTATACTTACTAAGAATAAAAACCTTCTACTACTATTGTATTTTGAAGAAGAATATAGCGACACAGTATAGTGACAAGCATCTTGGAATCGGGAAGTAAGAACAAAAAAAATTTAGCAATATTGTATTATACTTTCCTAATAATGGGCGCAGGCCTCATGTTAATTGTTTTGATATAAAATTGAAGTGTCGTATAATTACGATGTATAAGCTGTAACGCATTCCATCTTAGTCGTCAGAGGTGAGAACGCAGGTTGACTGCACGTGCTCATTGACTGCAGTAGTCACTTATCTGCAGTTGTTTAACTTAAAAAATAAGTCTGCACATTTCAGAATAAGTGGATAATTAGGAGTGGGTTAACACTGAATTACAAAACTCCAGTACATTCATGCATACATACGTAGATACTTACAGGATAAGCTAATACAAAGCGTGCAATAATGTTTTCTGTGATTTAAATAATTTTGAGAGTAATTTTTAACAATACCTTATTAGAGTCAAAAAAGTGAGCATTGACTTTTATATGTAACGATCTTACTGAATGTATTAGATGAGTTATGAAATTATTGTCGTTCATCATTTATGGATACAGTTGTGGATTTTTTTTAATTTAGACGTCTGGAAGCGGGTAAAACCTTAATAATAATAATAATAATGCCCGCTTGTGCATATGGCCTCACCATGAAACGGCGCCGGGTCTGGGCGTCTCCCGTTAAATGACGCCCTGTATGGATGATGGAACATAGAAGATTGCGCAAAGGGCCGCTGCCTGGAGGTCGTCAGGGCGCGTCTGGAGCTGGCGCTGGACGCGACAGCATGCGAACCGCCAGCCGAGCGCGAGGTGCTGCACGACCACCCTGCAGCCCCTCGCATCCATCATCCCCACCAGCTTGCTTGGTGTCGGCAGGGTCTTCGCAGGCCCAGCAATCGGCACCCGCCACTGGTGGAGTACGCCGCATGCGATGGACCATCAATATGAATTCAAACGCATTGCGGGCGTATTTTAGGGCGAAAGGGGGGAGAAATTGGAGGTTTCGCGTATCGGGCTAGGATGCATCGTCTTTTTACTGAGCTGGAGCCATCTATTACTGTCACCGAGCAAAACCTGGCAGACCGAGTTCGGTATATCTTACGCTCAAATAAATTTGATGGCGCCGAACTCGAACGGCTACGACGTGAGGCTGCTCCCTCATCAAATGAAAACGCTACGACTGAGGGTGCGGTGCCACAAGTTGCAGAACAACCCGCACACGTGGATGCCGCCGAGAATACCCCAGTGGTTGCTGATTCAAATGATGATGGAACATTCACCCAGGAACTAGAAATAGAGCAAATGAGGAGTACATTGGAAGAGGCGATTATGGAAACGCGCAGTACGCCTCTCGAAAATCGACCGCGACTTCCCCGCATAGCCCTAAGCAAGCGGAATCGGGCTGTCGTGAGGGCTCTGAACCCAATGCTGGTGACCTATTTGGAAGCCAGCCGGGACCTTTGCGAGACGGACTCAATTCTCTTTGGCGCCGCACTGGCAGTCTGCCGTATTATAGGCGCCAAACTTTCCACGGCTGGACGCACTACTGGACAAAGTAGTGCTATCCCAGCCTGGAGAACAAGAATTGAAGAACGTATCGCAAAGGCTAGGGCCCTCATCGGCAGACTGATATGCTTCAGGTCAGGCAATACCAGGCCAAGGATTGTGCGCACCGTCAGGATGGCGTTTGCTGGGACAAATGTTAGTTTGTCCCAGCCGGATATAATGCAAAAACTGACGGAGCGCATAGACGACCTGAAGCAGAGAATCGCTGCTTGGGGAAAGCGAATTCGGCGATATACCGAGAGGTCGACACGGTTCAACCAGAATCGTCTCTTCCAGAGTGATCAGAAGAGGCTCTATAAATCATTGGAGCGACCAATGGTAAGTGGAACGGGCCCAGTACCGAATCAGGCCGACACGGTCGCATTCTGGCGCAGCCTGTGGTCAGAGCCCGTAAACCACAACGAGGGCCCTTGGACGGAAGTTGTGGCGAGTCAGTGTGCGGGTATTACGCCCATGGACCCCGTCACCATAACGCCGGATGACGTAGCTGAGGCGGTCCGTAGGGCCCCGAACTGGAAAAGTCCGGGACTCGACGGGCTGCATCACTACTGGCTGAAGGGGTTCGTGGTGTGTCACACTGTGCTCGCCCGACAGTTTCAAGAGGTTCTCAACCAGAAGTCGCTCCCGAGCCTCTTCACTACTGGGATCACCCATTTGGTTCCTAAAGGCCAGAGTACCACAGACCCGAGCAAATACCGCCCCATCACATGTCTACCGACCATATATAAGACACTAACATCCATTTTGAGCGCGAGAATCACTCGTCACCTGGACTCAAATCAGGTGATGTCGCGCGCTCAAAATGGATGTCGGGGCGGCGGTCGTGGAACCAAGGAACCACTCCTCATTGACGCGGTCATTGGCAAAGTGGTGAAACGCAACCGTCGGAACTTCTCCGCCGCCTGGATAGACTACAGAAAGGCATTCGACTCGGTGCCCCATACATGGCTAAAGAGAGTCCTCGAACTGTACAAGATAGACTGTACAGTTAGAGACTTCCTCGAGCAGTGTATGGGGCAGTGGAGTACGATCCTTTGTCATCTGGGCGAGCGGATGATGGCTGCGGAGAACCACATAAGGATAAGAAGGGGTATCTTCCAGGGCGATTGTCTGAGTCCAATATGGTTCTGCCTCTCTCTGAACCCTCTCAGTACCTTACTGGAGGGCTCCGGGAGGGGATTTCAGCTACGGAAAGGAGGGACAAAAGTGACCCACCTTTTCTATATGGATGACCTCAAGTTATTCGCCTCCAGTCGCTCCCATCTTATGGAACTGCTAAACATCACTTGTGAATTTAGCAATTCCATTGGAATGGAGCTGGGGACGGATAAGTGTGCGGTCCTCCATGTTGAGAGGGGTAGGGTTGCTAACTCTGAGGGCATAGACTTATCTATGCCCGTCAACTTAAGGACCCTTTCCGAGGCTGAAACATACCGATACCTGGGTATGTCACAGAACATTGGTATCGATGAGGCTGGTATGAAACAGTCAGTTTGCGACGTGTTTTATGCACGCTTGACCAAAGTGCTTAACAGCCTTTTGTCCGGTGTGAATAAGACACAAGCATATAACGGCTGGGTCATACCTGTCCTCATGTATACCTTTGGCATACTCAGGTGGACTCAGACTGAACTTAACGCCCTGGATAGAAAAGTCCGCACTACCATGACGTCCCACAGGATGCATCATCCGAGATCGTCGGTAATGAGGCTGTACTTGCCGCGAAAGCATGGTGGGCGTGGCTTCTTGAGCGCGCTCACCATGCATAATCGCGAAGTGTGCAGCCTCCGTAATTACTTCCTGGCGAGATCGGATGATCCATTCTATAAGGACGTCATTTCTTGTGATAAAGGACTTACCCCTCTATCCTTAGCCAACGAGCAATGGCAAGACCCGGCAGTGCAGACAATTTCCGACCGGGAGACCGTATGGAAGGAGAAGGAGCTCCACGGGAGGTTCTACAAGTCTCTACATGGGCCTTTCGTAGACACAGTAACCTCTCTCCACTGGCTACGCTTTGGTGACCTCTTCGGGGAAACCGAGGGTTTTGTCTGTGCAATACAGGATCAGGTTATTAAGACCAACAACTATCGGAGATACATCCTAAAGGATGGCACCATCGACATCTGTCGAGCTTGTCGCCATCCCGGTGAGTCACTTAGGCATGTCATCTCCGGTTGTTCGGCGCTTTCTAACTCTGAGTACTTGCACAGGCACAACCTAGTAGCCAGAATTCTACACCAGGAGCTCGCTCTGAAATACGGTTTCGTGGATCGGAAGTTGCCGTATTACAAGTACTTGCCGGAAGCCGTGCTCGAAAATGATCGCGCCAGGCTCTATTGGGACCGGGCCATCATCACAGACAGGACTATTCTTGCGAATAAGCCTGATATTGTGCTGATGGACCGGGCACAGTCAAGGATATTTTTGGTCGACATTACCATTCCGTGTGACGAGAACCTCGTGAAAGCCGAAACAGATAAGCAAACAAAATATCTGGACCTGGCTCACGAGGTGACCGACATGTGGGGTGGTCTGCCGACCGAAATTATTCCTGTAGTCGTCTCTGCAAACGGGCTAATCCCAGTCAGCCTCTCGGGTCATCTGAGGCGGCTGGGACTACGTGGCGGACCGCTCCAGGCTCAAATGCAGAAGGCGGTGCTCCTCGATACCGCCCGCATCGTCCGCCGGTTTCTTTCCCTTTCCCCCTAACCCTCGGCCGTTTGGTCTCCCCTGCCGAGGGCTTCCATCTGGTTGGGCTTTTATTTATTTATGTATTTTCATATTTATTTTATTTTATTGATATTTTTGTATGTTTATCTTTTCATTTTCGTTTATAATTATATATTTATACATCCCAACCAGATGAGAAAACTATATAGATACCCCACACATAATAATAACAATAAACAATAATACATAATTGCTTATCATAAGATAAATTTATCATTTAAAAATAACCATTCATATGATATTTGTATAAATAAAAATATTTAATTCCTTCGATAATTATTAAAATAAAATATTATATAATATAATAATTATTATATATTAATTAAATAAATTGTCTAAAATTATTAAAAAATATAATAAAAATATATCAGAAAATAAATAAAACATACATCGCATGTATACATTTAAATACTAATAGACACTTCCACTATAAAATTCCATTTCGTTCATACATACGTAGATACAGATAAAACTGAAATAAATCGTTTAGAGGTCGAAGTACATGGCATAACCGTAATAAATCTAATGTATATAAAACGCTAACGTGCCTCAGCGGACTATAGAGAAGGCTTTGCTCGGGATCTCTCTCTGTGAAAGAATTGAATAAGTGTACTTACCTAGGACAAATATAAATTGTAAAACTAAGACACTCCATCGTCGACAAAGATCTTAAACGACAAATTCAACTTCAGCGTTCGGGAAATCATGACAGATATAGTCCAGTATTTCTTAAAACATGTGTGTTGCCAGTAAAGGACTGTGTAAACAAAATAGGCCGTATGAGACAGCACTTAAAGTAGCTAAGCTTCGATGTTAACGATGTATATGACCACTTTATTATATGGGTGATGATAATAGGTCCAACAATGTGTAGTGAGATTAAAAAAAAACAAAAGATATATGATTCTAAAACCTTATACTACAATTAGTTTAGAGTATTATTTAAGTAGGTGTGGTTACATGCTGTGTGAGAAAATCTGAAACTAGAATATGTGCAGTTACATGAAGTTGGCCAACAGGTACAAAAAATTGGTGATAAGAAATTAAAGCCGTTCTGTAAGGTTTTTACGGGAAAGGTCTTACTATCACGCGCAGTGCTAAGTGACCCACTATATATATATATAATATATATTTGTATGTAGTAGTATGAGAGAGCGGGAGTCGATGTATGCTTAGGACGGGCTTTGCGGTAACAAATTGTGCCTACGTACAACACTGAGCTTGTGATGTATGGAGTGATAGCAAAAGAATTATTTTTTTAAACATTTATGACAGTAATGTAATATTATGGAATGAACTTGGCCTTACCAACAATTGTTTGGCTTTGTGGTCCTGGCCTGAGAGACGTGACGCGGCGCGAACCTCTTAAGGTAGTGGTGATACAAAATAAAACTTTATTTACTACACAAATAGATACACATTTTATTGAGCTAATTCGACAATACCCCGCAGTGTAGCGCTACGCCGCGCTGCGCATAGAGGTGCCTCGCGGCGTAGCGCTATTTTAATTTCCGACGTTTCTGGAGCTTTAGTGAGTTTAGAGCTTCAGTTTTATAATATAAATTTTTGGTCAGATCTACGAAATCCGCATTTAATTAAAGATGGCTGCTACATCCTATGTACGGCAGAAATCAACATAAAACAAAGAACTGTTCAAACGGAATCTGATATGAATTAAAATAGTAGCAATATTCCCCTTTACCAAGGTTAGCCTGGAAGATATTGCTGTTTAGTGATAAGGTCACTTTATAGTATATAAATTTATAAATTTAAATTTAGTGTCTGTTATTTTAAAACGTTTCATATAATAGAAAGTATAAATTAAATAATAGCAAGTTTTCTTTTCTGTTACTTTTCATACGGGAACACAGGAACTGCTTGGTGAAATTAACAGGTAGGAAGATTTATACGTGGTAGAGCCATGCTGCAGTTATATTAGATGTATAGTTGTAGCACGAATGGGTCGGCTCGACCGGGGAAGGACCACGCTCTCATAGAATACCAGCGTGAAATAGTAGCTTAATGCTGCTGTGTTTCGTGTGGTGAGTGTAGAGAACCGGAGACCCTTTTTACTGGAAACGAGGCATTCCATCTTAGTCCTCACGGGTGACAACGCATCTGCATTTTGATTCGTAATTGAGGATAGATGTAGATGTCTATGGGCCACAGCAACCACTTACCATCAGGTGGACTGTGTGCTCGTTTGTCACCCTATCCTATAAAAAAAAAAAAAAAAAAAAAAAAAAAAAAAAAAAAAAAGATGATACAAACCCAATAGGCTTGCAAGATTTAAGACCTACAGCCCGTTAAAATAAGAATAAATAGAAACAATATTCTATAGAAGAGAAGCAAACGAGCGTTCTATTCAATTGATGGTAGGTTACTGTTGCCGCCAATGAACATTGGCAGTTTCAGATCAAAGTTGGTGTTTTTTCGGCCTTTTAAAAAGGACTAAGCTCTTTTCTCTAAGTCCTGTCGGTCCGAAAAAACTGCTGGTGACAGTAAATTCCACAATATCGCCTTGCGCCTTTATTGAACTCAGGATCAAATTAGCAACATAGAAATGTGGTTTTCTTTTCCGTGTACGGTAGTACTTACATAATATTTTAAAATATTAAGCTCAAGTACAATCTAATACAATTACCGTTAAAAATTTGAGACAAAGTATTAAAATAACAATTTATATAGGTCACAAGTAAAAGTTTTGAAGCCAGCCGATTCAAATAAATTTCTTACAGGTGGCGGTTCAATGCGCTCATTCAGTGAACTGTTTCCATAATCCGTTCCATTTGAGGCACAGTAAGTTAAATACGCCCCGATAATAAAGTTTAGCATTAAATTACTAAAATTGAAAGTAAAATAGTAGCAGTAAAGCTATTATACATATTATTTTTATTTTATTTATTTATTTCTAGATCCGCAGCACTAATTACAATGTAAATTAACTTAAGAAAAAAACTTACAGCCAATAACGAATCTACTTTATACATTTTAGTGAGCAATATACATATTAACCATTTCCTTCACGAATTTCCCTCTTAAACACATTCCTACTGCTATGAAAAATGTCAGTAACATTAAATTGGTTATTAAAATTTCGATGCAATCGACTGACCAATGCGTTTGTGCGTAAGTTGTTTTTGATTGTGTTACAGCAAATAATTTTGTGTGCCTCTTTCTAACTTTCGGGGCACAAAACTCGAGTATTTTGGTAAATAGTTCAGGGCTATCTATATATCCGTTGCATATTCCGTGTAAAAAGGACATGTCAGCAAGTAGACACCTATTTTTGAGATTCTTGAGATTATGAATAATATATACATATAGTAATATTAAGCCACACATTCCACATAGGCGTTCCTTTCATCTCTGAGAGGTTTTCGAAATAGAGAATGTTCTACCCACTATCGTAATGCGTAAAATTTTTCATTAGTTTACGTTAAGGCCTATTAAAAGTTCACTGCTGAACATGAAATTCTTGTATAGATTATCTCCCAGGAGACCGGACATAGAATTCTACATGTCACAGAAATATTTTTTACTCGTACGCCTTTCCTCACGATATTTTTATCGCCGAACCGTTACCGTTACAGCCTATTAGAGTCCGCTTTCTCCATATATTACGTCATAGGGTGGATATTTGTTATAGTGTCTACGCTTGGCAAGCGGGTTGGCAACCGCAGTTTTATCCTATGCCTTTAAACGAGCAATTCTTGTATAAATATATACATCACCGGAACTCGGAAACGGCCCAACGATTTTCGCGATAAAATTTTGTGTGCAGGGAGTTTCGGCGGCAATAAATCGATCTAGCTAGGATTTATTTTTAGAAAATGTCCTTTTGTCCGTGTTTTTAGGCAATGAAAAACTGCTACAATATCGTTAGAATAAGAAGGTAAATTTTGACTGTTTATTAATGATTACAAGTAGCTTAATTGGTATATTGGGCGGTCATAAAATCGTAATACCATGGTTCGAACCCAGACCCACCGACCGACTTTTTTTAATTTTTTTTTCAAATTCTTTTCTTTTTTGAGAAAATCTATTGTTTCGAGCCCTTTTTTTAGTATTTTTTAAAAACACGAAAATTTAAATTAAACTAATTGCACTCATGATTTGTTATTCAAAGAACCAGTTCAGTTTTTTCTATTATGTCGCTAAGATCAAAAAATATTATTCGTATTTCATCATTACGTAATTTGTATCTAAATCTAATTTCCAAAACACACGAATTAAAAAAAAACCGAGCGAAAAACACCGAGCAAAGCTCGGTCAACCGGGAACTTTATATTTAGTCGTGATTGGGAAGAGGCCGCTGTCCATCTCCTGATTTGTTTCCTCTGTCGCCGCTTACCACACCCACGGAATGATATGGGGTAGTGTAACGTTAACATTCTATAGTAATCAAAAAGGCCGACCTTCCTAGACAGCGTAGCATTGTGGAATTCATCCAGTGTTGGTGTTTCGTTCTTTTCCCTCTGAAGCCTCTTAGGACACCCACGTGAGGATATGGGGAAGAGGTATTCTTACACATACACGATAATCATCGAACATATGAGGTATCGCATAACACTTAAATAAAAATTAGCCTTCAAAACTGCAAAATAATTAATAGGTGCTAACGGGGAAAAACTCGAGTTGCTTGCATACCTCGTTATTCGAGAGGAGCTACCACTGCCTCCGAAAATTATTTTATAATCAAATGTTTTGTAGGTATATATAAATAATTTTATTTTCCTCAAACGTACAATAACTGAAATAACTGTTATTGTCAATATCAAAAAATGAAGGCAAACCGATTGACTTTCAATTCGACGGAAATCCATTATATTTATTGCTTATAGAGTAAAAGTAGTAAAGAGTGGACTCTGGGTCACGATATTAAGAAGAACATTTTTCTTGTTTCTTTTTTTTAATATAGCAGTGGTAGCTCAAAGGCAAAGCGCTCAGTGTATATTTTACAGTAAGCAAGCAACCTGGATTCGATCCTTCTAGGCACTAACAAAATTGTTTTTCTTTTGCAGCAATTGCAAATTTTAAGTGCTTATTTACCACGTTCTTGGCGGGGAAGGAAAACATCGCGAGAGAACCTGCATACTTTTTAAAGTAAAAGAAATATTTCAAATTAATGAGAGGTCTATTAACACGCATTGGGGCAGCGCATCAGACATTTCCATGTCGCGAAACCGTCTTGGAAATGACAGCGCCTGTGCCCAGCTGTGGGATGTATATAAGCTGTAATTTTGCACAGACAGTATAGTCTAGGTGAGTTTACAAGATCGGAGACTCAATTTACTGATAAGGAAGCATTCTGTCTTAGTTCTCAGGGGTGACAATGCATCTAAAAATAAAGATGACAAAGAAGTACACATTTAAGTTTACATGATAAGTGAATGCTGTGGCTCGTAGACATCTACATATATCCTCAGTAAAGAAACATGTGTTGTACCTAAGGTACGATTAATTTATCTTACAAAACACCTCTGGCATAACATAGCCGAAGCACGGAACCACGTTATTAAAATATTATGTGAGCGTACACAAATTTCGAAACCAATGACTAATAAATACCAATTTTGTTCAGCATTTATTTGAAACAAGCAGCGTGATATTGTTTGAGCAACCTAATTTCCGTCTGAATAACAAGATTATGTCTCGTATTGGTATTAGTCCAGTCATATTAGACCAAAAAAATAACAGTAAAGCTGCCTACATTTCCACCAAGCTGAAAATCACTACAACTTTTTGAATCGTTATATCTCAAAAACTGTGGATCTTGAAATCGCGAAAAACTCACTTTTTGACGTTTGATCTTGAATATTTTTTGTCCATACAGGGGAAATATGGAGAACTTTCAAATTTTATTCAAAATTATATATCAAACAATCTTCTGATTTTTAGCATGGTGGGAATTTAGGTAGCTTCGAATGTCTAAATTGACCGGACTATATAAACCAAGTTTGGTTTTTATTTTATTTTAACCGAGCTGCATTTGTACTTAAAAGGAAGTGATTAAAAAGCAAATTTATTACCAAGAAATATAAAAGAATAGAATAGTTTTATTAAACATAGATTGTTACATAACACTTATTAAAGTTATTATTTTTTACCACTGGTTCGGAAAAAGTGGGTATTTATTACCTCTATATTACCTCTGTTCTGGGAAGAACCAGCAAGAAACCCAGTGGGATATTTTTTTGAACATCTTGTTGAGCTCCATAAATAATGTAGTTAAGATTGTAAGTACTATAGTATGTGTGTGTACGAAAAACAATCTATAGCTATCCGTTGGTCTCGCTAAAACTCAAAAACAGCTCGACTGATTTTGATGAAGTTTTTATGTGTTAGAATCATCCGTGTGAGCCGCTGGTAATGTAATATAAAGATAAAATTATTAATAATTACCAACCTATATATATATATATAACCTTATATCTAAATAAGTCTATTATTGTAGCGTTATTTAGATACAAGGTAGTCAAACACCATTTATGAAATTAATTTTTCGTTTCTTTCTTTTAAATTCAAGTATGTTTTATTTCAAGGAGGCTAGGAGTCCTTGCAAAGGTGCGGCGATACCTCACGCCGGGACAGATATTTACTTTATATAAAGCCCAAGTCCGGTCGTGCATGGAGTATTGCTGCTATAAATGGGCTAGTGTTGCAAAATGCCACTTAGCAGCTTTGGACTCAATGTAAAGGCGTGCTAAGAGGCTTATTGATGAGACGAATTTGGCTTCAACCAATCTTACCAGCCTCGAACACCGGCGTAAAGTAGCCAGCCTTTCGGTCTTCTATAGGATGCATTTCGGAGAGTGTGCGCAGGAATTGCATAATTTAATTCCTCCCTCTCCATTCCATCATCGGACAACCAGATGTTCAGCCAGTCTCCACCCTTTCATTGTTCACTTACCACGTATTCGAACCAAACGGTTTGCTACGTCGTTCATCATGCGTACAACAAAGGAGTAGAATATGTTGCCAGCATCTGTCTTTCCATTCGATACAATCTTAAGCTACATCACCACTTACCATCAGGTGGGATTGTAGCTATGTGCTGGCTTAGGAAAGATAAAAAAAACAGACAGACAAACAAAAATTTAAAAATGGTTATTGTGTTATATTAATGTCATGCAAATAACTTTTTCAGATCAATAGCAACCAGTTATTTCAATATTACAGACAGAGAGAAAGACAGACGTCAATTTTATTTATATGTGTAGCTATGTAGATATTTGCCTCAGTCATACTAATGTAATAAAAAAATATATATTTTTCAAATTAATGGCATCTATAGCTAGTATATATCATCGTAGTTCGGTCACGGCGGCCCGTCTCAGCGAAGACTAACCATCTGCGCAGGACAGTACTATAGTGCCCAATTGTTTGCGCAAGCGTATGTTCTCTCTCTATTCTTTCACAATCATAGTCTGTAAATCTAGGACTGTAATCCGACACGACCGCAGAGACATCCGGCGCAGGATCAATGGCTTTGTTAGCTTTCCGAGGCACAGGGTAAAAACGCCGCCGAGTTACTGACTCCGGGTTGCTACTGAAAATTTTGTTGACAGAAAATTTTCGATTTTGATTTGATCCGATCCGGCAGTCGAACCCGAGACCTAACGATCAGCAACCGCGTTTACTACCACTGAACCAACGAGACAGTTTTTTATATAAACTAATGTTCGCGGCTATAAGTCGTTGCAAGGCCCACCACAGCCGCATTTTAACCTCCTGGCAATAATATTCAGTATTTCCCGTCCCTCACTTGCTCACTCAATATTTTAGTTGCTCATTTATTATTTATTTCGCACTTCTAACATTTTAATACGCTTTATGGATACAACGTTAGTTTACGTTTTGTAGCCCCTATTAAACTTTTTATTGATAAACATAAGCCGGCATTCCAGTTTTTTTAATAATCAAGCTCAAGGCAGTAGTATAATGTCAATATAGTACAAACGAAAATAATAAAATCCGTAAAAATCTAGATATATTCGATGTACAGTGTTCGTGTAAATATAAGAAATCATTGTGTTATTTGATTTTATTTATCTTAAAAAGACATTTAAAATGCATCGCACAATATCGCATTGAGGTTAACTTAGTTTCGAATGTCTGTGAGCCTAAATGGAGCCTGAATGGATGGAATGGATGAATTTTGCTTTGAATTGAATAACTCCTTATCGAACGAGTCTGCGAGTATCGATGCCGGAAGAGCTTCATTCCCCTGTACGTCCGATCGAAAAAGGAAAGGTAAAATTTTTGAACCAGACAATCATAAGCCTATTAAATCTGTGAAATATGTAGTTATTCGGCTTGAAGTAATCAACGCACGTAATTCTTCGGCATTTCGTTCGAAACAAAAGCTATACCTACTGTACTTATATACAGTACCTGGGTGACCTAGCTTTCCTCGGTATTTTTTTTTGGAAATTATATTTAGATACAAATTACATACTTATGAAACATGAATAATGTTTTTTGATCTTATTGACATAATAGAAAAAACTGAACTGGTTATTTGAATAAAAAATTATGAGTGCAATTAATTTAATTAAAATTTTCATATTTTTAAAAAAATCCTAAAAAAAGGGCTCGAAATAATAGATTTTCCCACAAAAGAAGGGAACTTGAAAAAAAAGGACAAAAAGTCGGCAGGTCGCGAACCAAGGCATTAAAATTCCGCGACCGCTCGTTATCCACTTGAGCTATTACGATCATTAACGCGGAATCAAAATTTACCTTCTTATATTGTAGCAGTTTTCCATTGCCTGAAAACAAGGACAAAAAGACATTTTCTGCAAATAAATCCTAGCTAGATCGATTTATTGCTAAATTTTATGAAAATCGTTGGTACCGTTTGCGAGATTCCGATTATATATTGTTACAAATAGAAACACAGATTGACTTTTTTAAAAAGATTTTAATGGCTTTTGCCAAACAAATACTAACTAACTTAAAAGCTTTAAAGAAGATTTAAAATAATGACGGTAGTATTCGAGCAAGGCTTAGCCCGGCGCGGCGTCGGCACTCTTGATTCAGGCCCTCTCTTCCAACACGGCCTCTCCTGACGGGGCTGCGTGCTCGAAGCCCTCAGCAGGAACTCGTAAATGGCTCAGCAACACTCACCGCGTCCCGCGGCTGTTCGACGTCACCATCGTCGATCTCTGAGAAGATACACACAATCTAAGAACATTTATTTATATCGCGTACTCGTATTAACAGTTGATCTAAATTCATATAGTTCATAAAAGCGTCAGATTATGTACCCAATTAGCCAAACAAGTCAATCAGTCAAAACAGTCAACATGAACAGTTATCAACGCTACACAAAAGTGTTTCAAGTCACATAGGTTTTACACAGGTCTCTTCCCACACAACCGAATACCCCGCACATACTCGCGTGTGCAAACAGGATTTACATCAGTCTCTAGCAGGTCACCCCAGATACCTAATAATGGCTGGATTTACACAGGTCTGTTGTCGGCTGCGCCACCGACTCACCCCAGAAACCACCAGTGTCAGGGTCAACCCAATACCATGCGCACAGGATTTACACGGGTCTCTTCCACTGAACACAACACGTAACGTAATCAAAATCAATAAACACGGGCTTGTTTGTTACATAATCTAGCTCAAGAATAGGGAAAGATTATCTTCTCGACTGTCACAGCACCAACACATGACCAAGCGCATTCGCCGCGGCACCTCTGAGGGAACTCGCGCGATCGCGGCACGTGTAATCAGATTTACGATTTCAGCAAAAGTCCCGTATGAGAGCTATAAACAAAGCATACATCGTTTGAGTCATTGTAAAATAAGCTAACAAATTACATACGAATCAGGGCAGCTCCCTTCGTAACACATTATTGTTACGCGCTCAAGTCGACGATACACTAGCGCCATCTAGTGTCAGGAACGAGAGCGAGGGGAGCATTGAGAAAATGACATCACAAATCACTCAACCGACAGCGCCTAGTCGAAACTCGAACGCTCGGTACCTTGCGCGTGTTTACTTGAACATTCTGGATATTTCTTTGCTAATTTAAATAAGTAGGCGCTGCAGGATGCGATCGAAGTAGACTTGAACTCGGCGACACAAGCGAAGCTTCGGAGCGGAATTAAGTGAATCAGTGTGTTTAATCATTAGTGTTTTAAGTTTTAATTTGTGTAAAGTAAATTAAAGTGTTAATTTAGGTAATTTTATCGGCAATTTTTATTGTCACGAACCCTAAGCTCGTAAAAATTGGTGTCAGAAGTGGGATAAAATAATGCCGATTTTACCTAAGGAGGAAACGGAGGGTGTCCGTACCCGCAGTCAACGCCAGCATGAGACGGACCAGAGGAGATTTGGTGGCGCAACGCCGCAGACGTCGGAGGGCCAACTGCCAGCCACGGAGGCTGCGGGCCCGTCAGTAGCTCCTACACCTGCAGCACCTGACTTAGGTGCTCTGATGGCGATGCTACAGGAGCAGCTGCAGCGCGGACGAGAGGAACAGGCCCGTCTGTTGAAAGAGCAGCAGGAGGAACAGGCTCGCTGACGGGAGGAACAGGCTCGCCGACAGGAGGCACAGGCTCGCCGACAGGAGCAACAGGCTCGCCGACAGGAGGAACAGGTCCGTCGGTTGGAAGAGCAGCTGCGGGGCGGCCAGGAAGAACAGATGCTTCTCATGAAGGAACTTCACGCTACCTTCGGGAAAGAGATAAGAGAGGTGAAGGATAAGGTTGCTCAACATGACAACCGCC